TGATTATTGATTTTTAGTCCTCAATATTAAAAAACGGTACGTAAAGTTTCAGCAACTTGCCTTAAGCTTGTCCTCTTACAACTACGAATTCTTCTATAACTACAGTTGAGAACCTCTGGCATCCGAATAAACTCTACTAACAGGAATGGAGACCCGTTCTATGAGAGGCTTATATTTGCAATCTACAAATACAAATTGCAAATTGTGCAACATGCGACGCTTTCAATTAAATCATATAACGGTATAGGATTACCAATGAACCAACCAACCAACCAACCTCCAAACCTACCAACCCACTAACCAACCGAGCAAAGGATATTCAGTATGACGTATGTGCCAATGCGTAGATTCGAATTATATAATATGTAACAGGACACGTTTTCCATATTTCGGAAAATTAATTGAAAAGTTACGAAACGAACGGATGAAACGCCATGGATTTATTTTGTACAGGATAAACGGTGGAGTAAAGGATAAACGGTGGAGCAAAGTTGATTGATCTATTTTTATGAATAACAACTATGTGTAACAACTAAAGGCAGGTCTCATGCAAAACCTTCTAAAAATATTAAATTAATTATTCACCGATTATTTTTTTGTTTAAATTTAATTTATTATAAGTTTCCCTTTAACAATCTGCTTAAAGTTAATCCATTGTTCTGTACGTGTTTTGTTTTTAACTCCGGCAACTTTCTTGCATTTTTTGCCCTTTGAGGTGTCATGTCTTTTGAGTCTGTAATTAATTTTAACACTTTAAGAATTCCTAACATCTTTCTAGTTCACTAGATGGAGAGCTGGTGACAAAATTGCTCAAGATAAACTACTAACTTGATTCAGAAGCATTTTGTCTTAGGGAATGTTGCAAAAACTTTCTGATACGTGTAAGTAATCGACCCAAATAATAAAAAACGACTTATGAGTGAATTTCTACGCACATCACAAACACCTATTTAATTTTTTCGCGAAACGTTATTTAATATTACTTGAAAATTTGTATAAAGCAAAGAGGTATCATTTCTTTTGTTTATACTGATTTTGTCTATTTGAATGAAGCATGATTCTGCAAAGCGTCTTTGAGACGCTATAAACTCCTATTTAGTGAATTAAGTTATTTCAACAAAATGATTTCTGAAACATTGTTTAATATTACATAAAAAAATTTACAAAACAAAGAGGTATCATTTCTTTTGTTTATACTGTTTTTGTCCATTTGAATGATGCATGATTCTGCAAAACGTATCTAAAACGCTATAAACTCCTATTTAGTGAATCAAGTTATTTCAACAGAATGATTTTTGAAACATTGTTTAATATTACATAAAAAAATTTACAAAGCAAAGAGGTGTAATTTCTTTTGTTTATACTATTTTTATCTATTTGAATGAAGAATGATTCGGCAAAGTGTCTCTGAGACGCCATAAACTTTTTTGGTCTATCAAGTTATTTCAAAAAACTATTTTTGCAACATTGTTTTATATTACTTGAAAATATTTACAAAACAAAGAGTTATCATTTCTTTTGTTTATACTATTTTGGTCTATTTGAATGAAGCATGATTCCGCAAAGCGTCTCTGAAACTATTTCGTGTATCAACAAAATCGTCTATTTAGTGTATCAAGTTGTTTGAACAAAATGTTTTTGAAACATTGTTTAATATTATTTGACAAATTTTATAAAGCAAAGAGGTATCATTTCTTTTGTTTATACTGATTTGTCTATTTGAATGAAGCATGATTCTGCAAAACGTCTATAAGATGCTATGAACTCTTATTTAGTGAATAAAGTTATTTCAACAAAATGATTTTTGGAAGATTATTTAATATTACTTGAAAATATCTACAAAACAAAAAGGTATCATTTCTTTTGTTTATACTGTTTTTGTCTATTTGAATGAAGCGTGATTCGGCAAAGTGTCTCTGAGACGCCATGAACTTTTTTTGGTCTATCAAGTTATTTCAAAAAAAACTATTTTTGCAACATTGTTTTATATTACTTGAAAATATTTACAAAACAAGGAGGTATCATTTCTTTTGTTTATACTATTTTGGTCTATTTGAATGAAGCATGATTCCGCAAAGCGTCTCTGAAACTATTTCGTGTATCAACAAAATCGTCTATTTAGTGTATCAAGTTGTTTGAACAAAATGTTTTTGAAACATTGTTTAATATTATTTGACAAATTTTATAAAGCAAAGAGGTATCATTTCTTTTGTTTATACTGATTTGTCTATTTGAATGAAGCATGATTCTGCAAAACGTCTCTAAGATGCTATGAACTCTTATTTAGTGAATAAAGTTATTTCAACAAAATGATTTTTGGAAGATTATTTAATATTACTTGAAAATATCTACAAAACAAAAAGGTATCATTTCTTTTGTTATACTGTTTTTGTCCATTTGAATGAAACATGATTCGGCAAAGCGTCTCTAAGACGAACTTTTATTTAGTAAATCAAGTAATTTCAACGAAATGATTTTTTTAAAATATTTCAATATTATTTTATTATTTTTACTATGTGGGATTCTTTAATCTTAATTAATAACGTTTCTGCTTTATTATATATTGCAAAATATATTTTTGTCGATTTTTTATTCATTTTATTCAAAATGTTTAATAATTATTTAGAATATTGATTTGGGTGTTTCGCAGAGATCGATTTCAGGCCCACTTCTTTTCTCATGTAAATATATTAAAATATACATATAAATATTTTTTAGTTTTTATTTTAATGAATTATTTTTTAAATGTAACTAAATTAACGTAAACTTTGCAATTATTTCACGATATTAGTGATTCCATCGCTGCAAAAGTGATATTCTACAAAATGAATAAATTTCTATATATAATTAGGTTTGTTTTAGTATATATGTGTGTATGTATATATATATATATATATATATATATATATATATACATACAAACTAAGTTCATTTACAGCGTTTATTAATTAATTATAATTAATTATACATCTTCCACCCCCAATGAGAGTATTTTTCTCAATTAACATATTTTTACGAGTCACGTAAACATCTTCTTCGCCTATTCACATTTTTTTTCTTTTCTGTTTCTTACTGTGAATAATAAATTATTTTGCCTTTAACGGAGTATAATGCCTCGTGTCATAGGTGAGGTGATTTATTACATGCTGAATAAGTCATAGTATGAGAGCTGGTGGGACCAGTTGATGGACGATAAATATTTTTAACATTTGTACTTGAAATAATATTGTTAGATAAGTCTTCTTTGTATACAAACGTGCAAATTTTTCGAAAAGAGATTTTCAAAAAATTTTAAACTTTTTTGAAACATTTCCAAGGTTTTCAAAAACATTTAAAAAATTTAAATAATTTATAAGGATTTCAAAAAAAATTCTAAGATTTTAGTTTTAGAATTAGTTTGCAAGTTGTTTATGTAAGTTTTTTCAAAAGTTTCTAAGCTACCCTGAAAGCTTGTAAGTTTTCCTTAAAGTTTCTAAGCTTGTCAGAGAGTTTTTAAGCCCCTAAGAAAAAAACTCAAGCACTACGCAAAGCTTTCAAGCCCTCCAGAAAGTTTTCAATCTCTCCAGAAAGTTTTCAATCCCTCCATAAAGTTTTCAATCCTTCCAGAAAGTTTTCAAGCCCTCCAGAACGTTTTCAAGCCCTCCAGAACGTTTTCAAGCCCTCCAGAACGTTTTCAAGCCCTCCAGAACGTTTTCAAGCCCTCCAGAACGTTTTCAAGCCCTCCAAAACGTTTTCAAGCCCTCCAGAAAGTTACCAAGCCCTCCAGAACGTTTTCAAGCCCTCCAGAACGTTTTCAAGCCCTCTCCAGAACGTTTTCAAGCCCTCTCCAGAACGTTTTCAAGCCCTCTCCAGAACGTTTTCAAGCCCTTTCCAGAACGTTTTCAAGCCCTCCAGAAAGTTACCAAGCCCTCCAGAACGTTTTCAAGCCCTCCAGAACGTTTTCAAGCCCTCTCCAGAACGTTTTCAAGCCCTCTCCAGAACGTTTTCAAGCCCTCTCCAGAACGTTTTCAAGCCCTCTCCAGAACGTTTTCAAGCCCTCTCCAGAACGTTTTCAAGCCCTCTCCAGAACGTTCTCAAGCCCTCTCCAGAACGTTTTCAAGCCCTCTCCAGAACGTTCTCAAGCCCTCCAGAAAGTTCTCAAGCACCCCAGAAAGTTTTCAAGCCCTCCAGAAAATTTTCAAGCCTTCAAGCTAATTTTCAAGCCCTCCAGAAAGTTTTCAAGCCCTCTTCAGAACGTTTTCAAGCCCTCTCCAGAACGTTTTCAAGCCCTCCAGAAAGCTTTAAAGTCTTCCAGAAAGTTTTCAGTCGCTCAAGAAAGTTTTCAAGCATTCGAGAAAGTTAGAAATTTCTCGAAAAAACTAAAAATTCTCAAAACAATCTATTTTTCCATTGCAAACTTTTATAAGCATTCAATTACTCTTACGGGAATTTTGTTAAACAGCTTTGCATTTTTAGTTTGTTTCTTAATTCTAATGATGCTTATTATTTTACCATCAGCTCTATGTCTATAAAACTAGCAAGATGTTAGGAATTCTTAAAGTGTTAAAATTAATTACAGACTCAAAAGACATGACACCCCAAAGGAAAAAAAATGTAAGAAAGTTGCCAGAGTTAAAAACAAAACACGTATAGAACAATGGATTAACTTTAAGCAGATTGTTAGAAGGAAACTAAAAATGAATTAAATTGAGAAAATATTTCGATAAAATATAAAAATTAATTTTTATAAATGCGTATAAACTTTTAGGTAACTGCATCATCGAAAATTTTGTTATACCATTAATTCCATTCTTATTCATATGTAAAATGCGCCTGATTGCACCGCAAATAGACATTATCATAATTTTCACTAGTATAAAATAACGTCATGACAACGCTATTTTATAAGTTTTGTTACGGCAGAATTGCCCCATAATATTAACTTTTTTTGAATTATGTAGAAATGAAGCATTGCAACTGTTATCAGTTATTTATATAATTATCTAAAATAAATAAATTACCTGCGACATCTAATAAAGTTGCATTTGAAGAACAGCTGACAAAATGTGGGTAGAATGCAACCATAACAATTCCACCATTTTCAGCCTAAAAATAATAAAAAAATTGTTTTAATCATTTATATTTTTTTAACTATGTTACGGATCTATCCTCGTATGAGTTAGTAGTACAAAACTGTCTTAAAACTATGTATTTGCAGTGCCATCAGGCGTTTTTTTTACATAAAATCTAACCTATAAAACGCACAAACGTAAAAGCATAGTCCTAGTTATATTTTTATAACGTAGGTTTTATATAAAAATAATATTTATTTCACTTTAATACAGTTATTTCATTATATTATAATACTTTATTATTATCAAATTATACAATTGTATGATATGTGATTGAATATTAATTAAAGAATCCGAAATGAAAATCAGAGCACGACCTATATATAGGGTTACATATTTAATCTAGTACGCTTTGATTATAATACATATTGATTGAATGGTAAATGGATATCTTATTGATATATATATAATTGGAAGTTATGATTATAAAATATGCTGATTGAATAAGTAAATGTATTAATTAATTATTAATATATATAACTTCCTGATGTCTTTTTAATAACACATACGTGAAGTTAGGTTTTGTGTATAAAATTTCTTATCGCACAGCAAGGACGTAGTTTTTTGACAATTTTGACTATCAACTCATACGAAGATAGACCCCAAAAATAGCATTACCATGAAATTTCAATTTTACTAAACAATATTTTAAATGGCTTATCATTATCCTTACCAGTTTTTTGAGAATGTAGTCAGGGACATTCCTGGAGTTATTACACAATTGATGGGCTGATGAATGCGAAAAAATAACAGGGGCTTCCGTTTGTCTCAAAGTTGCCAACATAACACGTTGGGACACGTGAGACAGGTCCACCAACATGCCCAGACGATTCATTTCTCTTATAACAGCCTGAAAAAAAGAAATTGATTCATCATAATACATTTTATATAAGAAGGAAATGGAAGGAATTCAAGTCACAAAAAAGAAAACACAAGACAAAACATTGAGAAGTGAAATATGTACCAAATTCTTGGGAATATTCCCAACACATGTCCTTCACCCATTATCCTGCCCTATTGAATATTCCGCCGGTTATCAAACTTAACTAGTTACGGTGGAGAGACCATCAGACCATCAGACACTTGACTCGACTTCTCTCCACCAGAATCGACTCTAGTTCGCCGACTTATCGTGGAGTTTGTGCAGCAAGCAACATTTGCAAGTTAACACAATTTGCTCAGCGAACACTGTGAGCAATTTCTATTGTGTTTCACTAACAAAGATATTGTTAAATGTGCACGACAACGCGCAAACTTTATGCACTTATCTATGCACGAGACGGTGGAGCGGTGGAGCGATGGTGCATCTATTTGGACGACACGATGACGGTGGAGAACATTTCGACTACAGGATAATAGAAAAATGGGACATGATGTTGGTAAAAATTATATTAAAATATATATAAATATTAGGGAAATGGGTTCTTGAGTATATTTGTGTTACACCACAAAATACAGAACAAGTTAAACCACTCAACTTGCTTTCGTTTTGTTGATACTCCGTTTGGACTTGACGTTGAGTTTTAGGATACCCTGTACCTATATATATATATATATATATATATACATGAATGTATGATTCATTTATGTATGATATGCGTGTATGGTTATAGCAGATTTAATTGAAGCCTTTTGATGTGAAATATGTCGGAAAATTGTATTTTCGGCGTGTTGCGAATATTTTGAAACACGCGAATGTACAGAGGCAGAGTCGTATTTATCAATAATAATGATAATAATTTTATGTCTACCCTGTACCACTATTTTATATTTTAACAAATGTTATTTCATGTAAATCTTACTAAGTTTACGACTTTTCATTATAATTCAGCATTTTTCATTTTAGTTTTGTCAGTTCATATTTTTTTAAGAATTCATTACCTATTTTATTCGAAAATTATATTAATAATTATTTTTATTTATTATTATATTATTTTTTTTAATAATTCTTAATTACAGTATATTAGCTATTATTTGCTGATTATCTACCTGCCTACCTGTCTACTTGTTTACCTATTTAACTGACTATCTGACTATTTTTTTACCTGTTTACCTGATTACTTTTTTTATTTATTTATCTTTTCACCTCTCAACTTGTATAGAAATTTTTATATATTTTTATATATTTAACCTTCTACCTTTATATTTGTCGATTTTTCTACCTGTCTATCTTTTTTGTCAGTTAACTTGTCCACCGATTTATTTTTGTAGTTTTCATCCGTCTACGTGGTTTTTGCTCGATCTAAATTCAAAATTGACTACCTGTCTGCTCGTTTATTTTTTTACCTGTCTATGATAGTACCAATCTACCTAACTGTCTATCTTTTTATCTATATGTAATTACCTACATATTTACCTGTCTTCCTTTATACCTGTCAATCTATCTGTATGTTTTTCTTTGTGTACATCTGATTAACCAGTTTTTTTATTTACCAGTCTACCAGTTTGTCAACCTGTCTATCATTTTACTAGATTAGCAGACTATTTTTCTATATTTTTATTTGTTAACCTGATTGCCTATCTATCTGCTTAGGTGTACACCTCTATACCTGCTTACTCGCCTAACTGTTTGCTTGTAAACTTGTCTAATTTCTTAATCTGTTTAATTTATCATCCTGTCTAATTTGCCAATTTGGCTCATTTGTCAACGTAGTTAATTTGTAAACCTAGTTAATTTGTAAACCTAGCTAATTTGTGAACCTAGCTAATTTGTAAACTTGTCTAATTTGCCAAGATATCCAAAATGTCAAACTGTCTAAGTGGTTAACTTGTTCAAATTTTTAACCTGTCTAATTTGTTAATCAGTCCAAATCAACCAGTATAAATGGTCAATTTGTTCAAATTGTCAACCTGTCCAAATTGTCACCTTGTCTAAATTGGCAATCTGTCGAAATTGTCAAGCCACCCAAAATGTCAACCTGTCTAAATTTTGAACCTGCCAAAATTCTCAACCTGTCAAAATTCTCAACCTGTCGAAATTCTCAACCTGTCAAAATTCTCAACCTGTCGAAATTCTCAACCTGTCGAAATTCTCAACCTGTCAAAATTCTCAACCTGCCCGAATTGTCAAATTGTTTAATCTATTAATCTGTCCACATAGACAACCTGTCCAAAATGTCAACCTGTCTAAATTTTACACCTGTCTAAATTTTGAACCTGTCTGAATTTTGAACCTGTCTGAATTTTGAACCTGTCTGAATTTTGAACCTGTCTAAATTTTGAACCTGTCTAAGTTTCGAATCTGTCTAAATTTTAAATCTGTCTAAATTTTGAATCTCTCCGAATTACCAACCTGTCTAATTTATTAGTATGTCTAATTTATCTGTCTGTCCAATTTATCAACCAAAGTGTCTAATCTATCCAAAAAAATTTGTCCTTTAAATTGTCAGCCTGTCCAATTTGTCAACCTGTTCAATTTGTTAACTTGTCCAAATTGTCAACCTGCCCAATTTGTCAAGCTGTCCAAAATGTCAATCTATCCAAAATGTCAATCTGTCTAAATTTTGAACCTGTCTATATTTTGAACCTGTCTAAATTTTGAACCTGTCTAAATTTTGAACCTGTCTAAATTTTGAACCTGTCTAAATTTTGAACCTGTCTAAATTTTGAACCTGTCTAAATTTTGAATCTGTCTAAATTTTGAATTTGTCTAAATTTTGAATCTGTCTAAATTTTGAATCTGTCTAAATTTTGAATTTGTCTAAATTTTGAATCTGTCTAAATTTTGAATCTGTCTAAATTTTCAACCTGTCTAAATTTTGAACTGTCTAAATTTGAACATGTCTAAATTTGAACCTGTCTAAATTTTGAACATGTCTAAATCTTGAACCTGTCTAAATCTTGAACCTGTCTAAATTTTGAACCTGTCTAAATTTTGAACCTGTCTATATTTTGAACCTGTCTATATTTTGAACCTGTGTAAATTTTGAATTTGTCTAAATTTTGAACCTGTCTAAATTTTGAACCTGTCTAATTTCTTAACCTGCTTAGTTTGTCCACCTGTCAATCGGCCAGCCTCTCTAAATATGCACCTGCCTATATGTTTGTTAAGCTATCTACCATTCTTTGTGTACATAGATAAATATATATCTGTCTACCTGTCTACCTGTCTACATGTCTACCTGTCTACATGTATACCTGTCTGCCTATATATCTTGATATTTGTTTATTTCATCACATGTCTATCTATTTACGTATAAAATTCTCTAACCGTATACCTATCTTTTGTCTATCTCTCTTCTTGTCTACCTGTATACAATTAATTCTATTTGTACTTGAATTAATAATAATGATTAGTAAATAAATAACTAAATAATTCGTAAATAAATGAATAAATAAAATAAAGATAATTCTTATCACCTAATGACAATTTAATAACATTATTCGATGCAACTACAAACTTTATAGACCTGCCTCTGCAAAAATGAAATGCATTTTTTTACTCCATCAATACTAGTAAAATGTTGTTTGAATCATTTTAATCAAATTCTAAAAATCTAGCACTTTAAGACTTGCATCTCTCAAACAACTGGACCTGCCTTTACCAAAAACGAATCAGAACACTTACCCATCAATATAAATCAATTTATTTCTAATTCTAATGAATTATTCTAATCGGTTAATGCGTGCGCCCGAAATCATCGACGAAACATTGTATTTCATTATTTACTCATAATAAGTTTACTCATGATTTTTTATATAAGCTTACTCACGATTTTTGTTATAATTTTATTATTACCAATCCACCCCTGTTTCCCATTCCACCAAACTCGCATATTTCACGTGCACTGACGATACACGAGCATATCACGGTCGTTTGTTTAGGGGCCTCACATCGGGAATTCCCCTAATTTCTGAACATTTTGTATCGTCGGTTCTCTTCAGTACTACAGATGATACATATATATTTGTATGCATTATTATTAAACGAGAGACTGTGGTACGACCTACAACAATGATGATACGATATGATTCAAGGCCCTTATTATAACCCTTATTATACAATATATTATATTATAAGCACATTTGTATTGCGATTGTAATATATTTATTATCTTTATGTATGCGGTGGAGAGATTTGTTACGCACGGTGGAGAGATGTAATTATGAGCGAAATTTGTATTTAAGGTAATTGAAATGTATTTAGACTTATTTTTGGATGAAATTGCTATCTTACAATATTATTTGTCTGTAAAGTAAGAAGAAGCATTGATTTTTTTATCTATTTAATTATAACATGGATGTATTCTTCATAATTGAAAGTACATTTATCCCTGATTGAGATAAATGAAATCGTTCCCATATATGCGAATATAATGTGTTCCTCCATTCTATATTAAATGTAAAATTACATTATCTTCGAAGCCGATCTTAAATTTATATTTCATTTTGCAAAAGATAATTCTGCTCGTTGAGCAAGAGAACCTCACTTCATATGTGAAAAGAGCAGTGATGGCCAAACTAATATATTTCGGACAAATATTAAAAACACAAAAGTGTTAAACGCATTTTACTTACGCATAATTTAAAAAATATCACTATTTAGATCAAAATTGTCAAAATTTCATATAAATTGTTACTCTTATCTATCAAAATCAATGGAGGCTTATACATCAAATGGTTTTGACAGATGATGCTCAATTACATTTAACAGTATAGATAAGAATAACAATTTATATAAATTTTGATCTAAGTTATGCGTAAGTAAAATGCGTTAATGTATAATTTATAATTATATATTGATTTATACACTACTAGGCATTTATATATGGGGTCAGTGTATTTGAAAAATGGATATATACATTTTTATATCGATTTACAAATGCTTTGACATTTATATATAGGGTCAGT